GACAGAAAGGCCTGGCGCGATGTGGTTCATGGGGTCACGAAGAGTCGGACATGACTTAATGACTGAACAACAACAAATATAAACAAACTTTTCAAACTGCCAACTACTTAAAGACACAAATGCCAAAACACCTTAGGGAGGTATCTACCCGAGCGAGATTTGACCAGCTTGATACAATGGTTAGATATGGGAGGTTCCACTGTATCCCTTATAATGAACACACTTGTATCTGTGGAGCATCAGAGATAGAAGACGTAGCACATATATTATTTGATTGTAACTTGTATAAGAAGGAGAGAGATATGTACCTTGGATCATACATTAACCGAATGATCCATTGGGAACCACAGATTAAAACAACATATCTTATCTGTGGTCAGAACTTGAAAATAACATATGATACAGCTCGGTATCTGAGTAAAACAATACAGTTGAGATCTGCATGCGTGGGGTTGATTGTGGTATATTGTAGGGGTGACACGGAAATATGATCTGATCTGTCACTTATCTGTATACTTAATTGTTGTATTTTATTTCCATTTTACTTAATTTATTATTACACTGGGTTTTATTAACACTTTGTGTTTGAAATTTTGAATTTTGATATGGCCTAAGGGCTAATCAATAAACTTTGATTGATTGATTGATTGATTGATTGATTGATTGATTGAGAGAAATACAGCAGCTTTTGAGAAAACATTGACCGTGTAGGGAAAGAAAATCAGAGGGAACTGAATGGAGTCTCTTGAAAGAAAGAGACTCTTGAGCTGGTTAGCTCAAACCCCGAATAGAAATACTTCATTCTACAACATTTTGTCACAGGTCCCATCCTTTTTCTTACTTCTGCTGACATTTTTACAAGGGACATAACGGTGCTTTTGATGCTCATTTTCATTATGGGTGTTCCTGGTATAAGATCCCTGATGCTGTGATTACAAAAAAAAAAAAAAAAATTATATAGCTACTCTTAGCTTTTCTTATTTAGTGAATTCAGTGGGTAGGAAAAAGAATTAGCAATAGAAAACATGAGGAAGGAGGAATTACAACTGGAAGATGATAATATTTGGGCCTTTTTTAAAATTCATGATTGAGGCAGAATGATTACACAGTGGTTCATCTGAATGTACACTGAATGTTGTATTTTATTAATGGCATGCAAAAAGAAGAAAATAAGATTTAAAATCAATTCTGGGCAAAAAGAGGGTTTTTTTTTAAAGCACTATGATGTGGGGACTTTTGTCTAAGATACCACTGCAAATCTCTGGTATACTTCTGCAGTATTTGTCTGAAAGTTGCTTTGTACACTGATGCTCTGCTGTTTTTCTTAGAGATTTACATATATAAAGCTCTTAATTATATTTGCCAACGTGACTGATCCAGAATAGGAAACTCTTATACTGTTTTCCCAGTGGTGGCTTACAGTGTCTTCATAGCATCACTCTGTTATCATTGAGATGATATAAAGGCAGTTGTCAGTACTGTGATTTTTGCACAATGGTTGGATGTTTCTAAAGTTATTCCAAGTCACTAGTGGGAACATTATTCTGGACAACACCTTCTTTTGTATACAGGTAGTCCCCAGTTTAAGAACAAGTTATGTTCCCAAAGTCTGTCCTTAAGTTGAATTTGTATGTAAGCCAGAACAATATTATTGTATAATAGTGTATAAGTAGTATTGTGTAATTAACTCAGAGCAGAATGTATTTAACTTGAATTTGGTTACTACAGGCTCCATTCTTAATGGGTCATCTGTAAGCATGCCAGCTGGGAATTCTAGGAGTTAAAGTCCACCCATCTTAAAATGGCCAAGTTTGTACAGCAATGGAATTTCAGGGAGTAATTGAAAATATACAGTATGTCCAAGAAGCACCTGCAGATTATTGATTTGAGGAATGAAAATGGGTCAATTATTTCTCCTTGCCGAGTAATTTCAGCTAATTTTAACAGCAACTTCTGTCTGTCTGTCTGCTTCCTCTCCCCTCCCCCATTTATGAAGTTATTATGGGGCTAACTTGCACAAATGAAAGTCTCTTAGTGACTTAGCACTATAGTAAGAATTGCCTATGGAACTGAATTTGATTAAAGCTATCTGCCAAATAGTGACTGTGCTGAAGTGTCTCCATTAATGCAAACAGAAACGTGTGGTTTCTAAAGGAAGCGCTAGAAACAGTCCTGAGAAGGTGTGTTGTGTGTGTGTGTGTGTGAAGGCTCTGAAACAGCTGGTTGGAATCTCTCACAACAACTCGCCCTCCCGGAACATCATTGGGGTCCTTCGATTGTGGTTTTTCGGAACCTGCGAGGCAAGGGTCTGCAGCTGAAATCCGAGGCTTTCAAGCAGATCAGCGGACACTCTTTATGTCCGCGGAGGACCTTCCACATCCGGACACTCCACCTCCCCGCGGCGCCACTCTCCCTCACTGCCACATCACTGCAGCCCTTTCGGCAGTGTTTCTCGCCTCCGGCAGAGGGCAGCTGTTCCGGGGTGGGCTTTCTCTCGGATGGACGCCTGCCAAAGCCCATCCGGAGGCGAGAAGAGATGAAAAACACCAGTGGAAAGCGGGAGGGGAGGAGGGCGTGGATGCCCCAGCGGTGGAGTCAGAAAGGCGCCTCTGGGTGGCTGTCGAAGAAGGCGGGTGGAGTGGGGAGGACTGTAACAGGAGCATCCCTGGCGGAGAGCAGCCAAACTCTTCCTCGTCACTGAGGAACGGTGACTTCTCCGGCACGTCCGCACTCTTGACTGTGGACGATCCTGGAGCCCGCACGTCGAATGCTATGTAAAATTCCAAAGGCTCGGGGGGTGTTTTAAGTTGCAAAGAAGCAGCGCAGGTTCGGTAAGCCTTTACGAAATGTTCCTCGGCGTTCTGTGTGTTTTACTGGCTTCTGCGCGAACAGGGAATGGCAAGCGGAGCCCTGATTCCCGGATTAGATAGTTTCCCGGAGCGTATATGGAGCATACCAACAAAATTCCAGTCTGACAAACATGCATAACGGAGACGTTTCCGTTAGTAGTGGCACTTTATCAATAATAGTAAGCTTGGACTCGTGGGTTTAAAACTTTTGAGCATCGTTCACTTTCCCTTGTTAGGCGCGATCCCCTGGAAAGTGTTCTTGCGCAAGTTCCATTGAGATACAGTACGTGGAACCCCTGCGCGGTTCAACTGCTAATTCATTTCAGCGGGGAGCGAAGAAGCGTTCCGAGGGAATGGAGGTTGTGTGGTAATCCTGGAACGTTTGTCCCTTGAGGAGTTGGGGAGATGGGAAGAGGTGGAAGAAGGGCGACACAAGACTGATGATGCAGAATTCTCCTATTTAATGTTTTCCTGTATTATTATTATTTAGTAGTATGAGCTAGAGAGGAAACACAGTATTTATAAAGCAATTCCTGTAAAAGTAGTGTGCTTTATTTGCTGTTTTGCATGCAGATCTTTTTTTATGGAGAGAGAGGGTCTTGCTACTTTTCAGAACATTTTATAATTTTGGCAGCATTGTACATATTTTCAAAGTCACGTAACAGAGATGCCTATGTGTGAGGATGTATGTATGTAAGCGCCATCTGATAATTTTAAATTTTATACCATAAACATTGACGTTGGAGTTTTTTAGTTGAAGCACTCAGCACTAGGATTAACTCTGGTTTGACTGCAGTAAACTAGGTTATTGCAGAAGTATGGTATGCCAATAACAAAGAATGTAAACCAAACCTGGAACTTCCAGCATCTTATCTCACAAAAACTTATTTTAGCTCTCCCAATCATAATTACAGGCAGCCAATTAATAAAGCTGAGGGCACTTACTCCAGGAGGATGGAAGAAGTCACTTGTAATTAACAGTAGATAAATATCTAACAATGCCAGTTCTACAGTTTGCTTCTTTCTTTATCACAGGTAGGGATGTTCCTCAAGGCTGTTAATATTTAAAATAATTTTAACTTCAATACATTGAACACATGACCGAAATTGTCCAATTTCTATTAGGTAATTTGTCCTTTTTTTAAAAAAAAATCTTAATCTATATGTACACAAATACCTGGTATCACCATAGTGATTCTGCAAAGTAAAGCTGCTGAGGAATGTCATCTTAGAAATAAATTGTTGGCAAGAGATAGAGAAGTTGCAGCAATTTAGTGCCCAAAGGTAGAAACAGGCTCCACATCAAAATCATTCATTCTAACTATTCAAGTTAGTAGAGAGAGCAATAAATAAGATTCTTTGTATCACAAATGTCTGCCTAATTTAAAGAGTAGTTTAATAAAATGTAAACAAGGCCAGGAGTCAATGCTGACTCAGAAGCACCAAAACAAGCAAACACCTACCTGTATTCATATAGGCTACCTGGACTGTATGTTTATTTTCCACTAATAATTCTACAAAAAAATGTGTGGTGTTGGCCCAAATATTTTATATGCTGTGATAATGAACACTTAATTTTTGAATGCAAAGGCTCTTTATTTTTTATTGGAATCATATCAGCCATGCAGTGTAAAGATTGCTTCAGGGTAAATCATACAACAATCCTAAAAAATGGGATCAGTAGTCCTTGCTTTATTTTTTTTGCCAAGCTAAGATTTGAATATGGATTCTGAGTCATAATTCTAATTCCTCATTTAAATGCACGGATTTCCTTAGGAAATAAAAGTTATCTCTAACCTTGATCTGTTATATGAATTGTCACAATCATGTAATTGTAACCTTCAATCAAAAATCAGTAATTTCTCATTAAGAGTGATAAAATTAAAATTCTCCTCTTTCGGGAGACATGTTTGTTGCAGTTTACAGAAAACTGTGATGAAAATATTGATCATTGGTTTATATAAGAAGGGGAAACATTCAGTAGAACACCATGTTTATTTAACTTTCTCTGTACTTCCCATCACAGAACAATTTTTCATTGTGCCTTACTTGTACACTCTGTAGCCCTATCAATAATACAAATTTGCTGGGATAGTCAGAAAACAAGACACAATTAAGAATTTTATTGTAGTCATTGATTTGCTACCATTTCAAGCATACACACACACACACACACACACACACATAGAAAATTGGAAACCTTATGGGAAAACAAAGCAAACTGACCTTTTTATGAATAGAATTATGATCATTACCCATTTCTGACTGCAAGCTTTTCATAGGCTCTGTATCAGGGGCCTGGCTTTGATATGCCGACATAAGAGAACTTCAGTGGTTCCCTCAATGCCTTCTCAGTTCTCTGCACCTGCAGTGAGTATTGTGATGAAAATAAATTTAATGGCAATGAGGAAGATCAAAACCTTTGGAAATGTTTATAGCAAAAAAAGTATGTTTACCAATAAATAGGTGGTAAATATCTCCTATACAAGCAGATTTTGAAGTCTGGCAGTGATACCTTTCCAAACAAGTACAGTTCATAATGCTAGGCAATTTTAGCCCCAAAGTCACTTTTTCAAAAATGAGAAAAAATGGTTTGGCCAATTCTTCTGTATTCTTCAGAGTACGTAACACAGGCAAATATCAGTATGATGGAATATGATCTGTTTTAATTGAATTCGCTTTCTTCATCCTAACAGCTCAGCTAAGCGGTCTTACACATCATTTTAAAGGGACTTTGGGTTGGACTGATGAATCTGTAGTGGAGAAAATCCAGTATGTGTGTGTGTCTGTATCTGTGTGTTTGAATGTTGAACTTTGCTATTAATCCTCCTGCAAAATCTTGAATTGTTCTGCATGAAGAAGATCTCTCTGTGTTGTATGTCTGATCTCTCTCACACATACATATATATAGATGATCAATATATTTATTAGCTAATAAGATATAACCATGGAAAGGAAAAATGTTTAGTCTAATGAATAAACTGTACCAAAGGAAGCATTTATTAAAGAGATGGAAAGATATTATTGTGTTCATATGTTGTTTATTGAAAGCTTCTCTGTAAACATTTTTCTGTATAGCACACATAGATAACTGCAGCCTATCAGTCCATTGAATTATCTAGTCCAGAATTACAAACACTGACTGGCACTTTTTCTTCAGGATTTCAGGCCAGAATTTTTCTAGCTTAACTGTAGATACCATATATTGTACTGGGACCGTCTATATAAGAAACAAGTTTTCTACCATTGATGATGACCCTTCCAAATAAACAACTGCTCATGTTATTGAAATGAAACTAATAATATATGAGATCTTTCTTCCTTGGCCAGATGGTGCATTAAATTTCAACTTAAAAGAAGTGCTCCCATGTATAGTCCTGAATATTGTTCAACCAGGTGCCTTCTTGATGGGTTTGAGTACAATTTCCATCATTCTCAACTGAAAGTGTTTGACATATTTGGAAAATATCAGGTTGAGATAACTACATTATTAGTTTCAAAAAACAGTTAGGATGCAGTCCCAAACACACTTCTCAATATGACATTTACATGTTATGTGTCTTATCTGCATAAATCTCACTTGCTGAGGTTATTGGGATTCTGTACTTTATAAAGATATGATTAGGTTGTGTTCTGCATGATTTTTTCTTGCATCAGAAATACTTTTTGCTCAAACACCTGTATTGACATGGGCTCCCATATTTTGTAAGTTATTCTGACTGTGAAAAAATAGATTTTTGGACTAATATATCAACCACTATAGATTTTTTGGTAGAGAAATTTTGAATGGGAACAACAGACATACTATTTGTTATGCTCTGAAATACAGGTAGATCTTGACTTATGACCATTCGTTTAACAATCGTTTGAAGTTATGACGGTGCTGAAAAAGTGACTTACGACTGATCCTCACACTTATGGCCGTTGCAGTGTCCCCGTGGTCACATGATCAAAATTCAGGCAGTTGGCAACTGGCATGTATTTACGGTGGTTGCAGTATCCCGGGGTCACATGATCACCATTTGCAACCTTCCCAGGGGGCTTCTGACAAGCAAAGTCAATGGGGGAAGCTGGATTCGCTTAACAACTGCGGCAAAAAAAGGGAGTAAAATCAGGTGCAACTTGCTTAATGACCACATTGCTTAGCAATGGAAGTTCCAGTCCCAATTGTGGTCATAAGTCGAGGGCTACCTGTACATGTAAAGAAAATTTGCTTTATATCTTACCTTACATAATTCCATCAATGTTGTTACACTGATAAGATATCCATAAACATCCAATAGGAGAGAATTGTGATATCATTCTCTTTGTTACAAAGAATTTATAGTAAGGAATTTTGTATTAAGTAATTCATGAACAGTGTTTCAAAAAGCTCATAGTGGGTCATTCCTGCAACAAACTATAATTTATTATAACATCCAACTATAATAAGCTATGTCTTAGATTTGATCCATAAATATGAGATTCTTCTTAAATTTACTTTATTTTTTGAACTGCTTTTTCCACAGTAGAAAAAGATGGGCAATTTTAAGGGTCATGCTCTTCCTGGAAGTTTTTTCCTTCTGTTTGGCTTGTGGTGGTCTGTGAAATATCCATTCAGGTACCTCTGTCAAAGGAGAAAAACCATTTCCCTTGGTTCCAGGGCAGGATTTCAACGCTTAGAATTTACTGAGGGCATAATCAAGTTTGCCTTTGCTCTTATTGGTAAGCTTATATTTTTAAAAAGTTGTAATTCTAAATAAGTATGATTAGGATTTAAAGTGCCTATAAAACAGCAATTGATTTTTTAAAAAAAAATTATTAAAGGTGAAACAATTTATAGTTAATGTCAAACTGAAGTGTGGATTCTTCCTATTGTTGAACTTTGTTTCCTTGCATAGTGACCAGCAGATAACTCTCATAAGGATTCAGTGACAAAGGTGAACAACTAGCCTGTTTACTTTGTACCTTAATCTTCTGAAAAATATACATCCCAAACTTAATGTACCTCTAAGTAAGAGAAGTAAGTGATGTTGATCTTTACAAGAAGGAAATAACCGTATTTTGTTAGAGCTTCAGTAGAGGACATGGTGGCTTCTATATGCTTTCATTTGTCCTCATCAGGATAAGCATTCTATGGTTCTATGGGCTAGTTTATACATTCTGACTTATTTAATAAACCACAGTTGGCCTGGTTTACATAATACACTAAACCAGCATTCTCTAACTTAAGGAGTCGACAGTCCCATAATTCTGAGCAATGGTCATGCTAGAAAAGAATTTGGGGAGCTGAAGTCCTCAGTTTTGGAAAGTGGTTTCCAAAATGGTTGGGGAAGCTGCACTAAACTAGATGTTAACAAATGACTATGGCTCAGCATGATATGTGAATCCAGCTGGTTGTGGTTTATTCCAGAAACAATAGGTAAGGAAATCATGACTTAAAGTGAACCTAGGGATTACCTTGGTTACAAAGCACAGTCCCATTCTTAGGCTCTTGGTAGCCAGCCGTGGTCCTCCGATTAGGCAGGGTAGAAGCAACCGTCACAGATGAGAGATATTTGGTGAAAGTAGTGATAAGTCTTGGCCATTTCTCCTGGACTTACCCAGCTGTTCCCGTCTGTTGGAAGATAGAATTTTGAATGCCACATAGTCTACCCAGCACCTCCAAAACCAGCCTCCTGCCCTGATGTTAGTTCATCATTAGATGAACTAACTGACAAGATTCAACTGGCCATCTAAATAGCTTAGATATACTGTAGCAAAATATCCTGGACGACTTCTGTCAATTTTAGGGATGTAGTTTAAACATGAAACACATTTTATGAGTGTAAACATGTGATGAACCTCACAAACGTGAGACTTTGGTCTGTGATTTGGCTCACATTGTAGGTATTGCATGGAACGGGAGATGTTGTGACATCTGTTTCAAGAAAAAGAAAAATATCCAAGATAGTGTATGAATGTTTCCAGACAGACCATTGCCAGTGAAATGTATTTTGCAGATGTATCATTTTTTTCTTTATATAATTTTATTCATGGTAAGAAAAAAGATGGTGGACATGATAGGAAAACATGGGATGTTTTACAAATAAAATACACTATTGTCTGGAGCCACTTGTATTTTATTTCTGAAGCAAGCCTGTTGCACAGTACCACTCTTATCTGGAAGCAGCTCAATATGCATTAGTTATAGCAATGGTTGATTTTTTGCACAATAGGAATGAATGAATGAATGAATGAATGAATGAATGAATGAATGAATGAATGA